AGTAATTAAAGTAATAATATGTGCGGTTTACATTCTCAATTTATAAGACTAGAACAACACAAGCGCGCGCTCAGCGCGCGCCATTGTTCTTCCGCGAGTCGAAGAGAACGACTCGCAACAAGATCGAAACTCGATCGAGTTTCGAGAGAGCCAATCGGCATCGCGGAAAAGCGACACAGTGAACTCGCAACACCTTTTTTAGATAGGGAATGTATCGAATTGATAAGAAGAGATTTGTGTCAGTTTATGATATTTATCACTTAACGTTTGCTAAATTTTATTAATTAGATGTAAATGAAGGGTAAACCGTTTATCAAAATAATGTACACCCATGCCTACCAATGCATTAAATTCGACAGTAATGCCCAGTAGGTTTAAGTTTAAATTACATTATTTCACCTTGTTTTATCTCTTTTATCTCTTTAGATTTTTTATAACGTCCCAGCAAGATCAAATAACATCCTTTAATGCCCCAAATCTGTACATCACAATACCCTGAACGGTTTCCCCTCGGCTGTCACCAATTCAGGATTAACCATAGTTATTATAACTACAAATCAGTGTGAAGAACGAATTTAAATTGCGAGGACGTTACGGAGAGGCTTCAGGATGTGTTGGATATATATCACAATCAATGCTATTATTGTGAAACTTCACTTGACATTCTTAATAACGCGCCATATTATCACGACTTAATTCCAATTTTTTACTTGCCCGTTTATATGTTATTAATTTTTTAGTATTTAGTATTTTAACTTATGGTCTCACGGGAACTAGAAGAAAAAATAGTAATAACTCGGGAACTATCAAAAATTAATGCTGAAAATGTGAATTTTTGTGTTATGCTTTTTGAACGTGTAAAAGTATTTCCTGCAAAGTTTTAAAACGAGCTGCCTGCTCATTTTGCAATTGTTGTTACAGACTGCTACGATTATCAGTATTAACGATGGAAAGTGGCAGCACTACATACGAACTTAATCTTTTAAGTTTTATATTTTCATCAAAGTGTAATAACGGTGAGCAATAGTTTATACTATGATTCCGTGAAATTCTTACAATTATGTGTCGATTAGAATTTGTGTTTTGTTCAATTTTAATTTTCTGATTTTTGGTTTAACTTGATGAAGAGGTGGTTGGTCCAATCCTTAAGTAAATGTAAAGTTAATTTAAATAAACAATTAACTAATTTTTTATATGTATAATATCAAAGTTCTCGACTCTTATTAAATATTGAATTGTATTTTCACCATAATATCAAAATATGTATCAAGATACAATGTTATATGATAACAATTGTTACTGTAACAATTACAAGAGTAATCGTACTTTTGCAATAAATTCACACGGCCAGAGAAAAACTTAAGGAGTTATAGAAATTAAATCTCAAGTCGAACAGCGCAAATAATTTGTATTTTACACTGAGAAAAATGACCGATTAAATATAATCGGATAATCCAATTACATAATAACAAACGGATATATCCAATTAAATTGCATATCCGATGAAAAATATGATCGGTTTTCCAATCAAATTTCATCGGTAACTGCATTTCATCGGATGTATCCATAATTAAATCGGAACACGTAATCGGAAAAATTAACCATCGGAAACGCTATTTAATTGGTTTATCCGAGGGAAATTTTTCTCAGGGTGTAGGAATATCTTTTGTTCTTTTGGAAAAAGTGGCAGTAGTATTTTCGGGTTCCATAATTTTATCCTCTGTGTTCGCCATTGGCATTAGGCCTATCGAGAATAATCACGATATTATTCAGCTTTCGTATATGATTCCATGAGTGTTATATATTATTTCATGCTGTATACGTTCTCCTAAGATTTAGGGCCCCACTTTGCATCGACAAGTCCGTCTCTCGTCGGTACAACTCGTTACATTCTATCGCGGCGCGTCGGAGACCAAATACCTGCAAAGATCATCGACGTCCCGGAGATTTACGGCGTGTCACGTGAGAGGTCGTCAGCCAAATTGTTTCACATTGATTTTCAGGTCGAGCGGCCGGTACGGCACCGCCGTATGGCCACTGCCCACACGCGATGTCTCCGCAAACGCATTGTGGTTTCCAGGCGCTTATTTATGCACGGCCCGCCGTTTCCGCCCTTTCCGCTTGACGTTTAGGGCCGTTGACTCGCTTGACTTCGTCGTCATATGGCGAAGTCGCTCTGTCGATGCTCCACCGCTGTCACTTTCTCGGCCCGCGGGGCTTTTATCGCAAACAAATTTTGCGGATGCTCGTCTTTACGTCCTTACGATCCAACAAATTTTTATTAATTCAAAATACAGTCCGACTAAAAATTCATACACGAATTTTATTCCGTTTATGAGAAATGTATGCGAGCATTTATTAATGCTAAAGTTACACCAGAAGAATTTAAATTGACATTACAATACCGATAAAAGAAAGAGAAAAAGAAGTTTGAATGAAGAGCGTGTAAAATGGTAGTTTCAAACTGCGTGCTTTGGACGAGCCTATACGCGTTTTCCTCCCGACATTATCAGCACAAGAAGAATGTCCCATTCATACTTTTACACGCCGTTTATGGACGCGTTATGCGCCGTATCAGTCTTATCAGCACTTCTAAACCGCCTACAATTTATGCACGTGTATGCGCGTGTAGAGCTATCGGCACGAAGGAAAGATTGCGGCCGCAGAAAACGCTACTTGCGGTCCCGCAATCGCGAATCTCAAGAATCCAACGGAGCTTCTATAAAGCGCGTACGATAAAAATATTACAAATCCTCGAAATGGACTTCTTGAATGTATAAAATTCTCAATGCGTGCCTTACATTATTTTTACAAATAATTCTTAATTATAATCTCCCAGCTGGGACCAGAAAAATACTGAATCCGATGAAATTTCTTTACATTTATTTTGCGCATTGCCGAGCACGAGAATGAACGAGACGAATCCATTTCGTACGTTTCGACGACACGTCCGGAACAGAGACAAACGGTAACGGTTATCACCGCGAAATATCAGCTTAACTAGGCTTCAAATGCCGCCAGAGGCGACGATATAGACACGCGCGCCGTTAATCCGCGAACATGCGCCGTTATTTCGCGAGAATTTGTCAAGCCTTCCGCGCGCTCTCTCCGCACTCACGGCAGACCTCGTCGCTAATTGGATGCCCGATACGAAGCTACGTTTCACTGGGACGAATCCATTAATATCGCCTTCGACAGATGAGCTCGCGCGCAAACCCGGTGGTCCGACGAGGGAGGATTTCTCGCGTCGTCATTAATCACTGAAGCAGGAACCGCGCGGTGCTCGGGTCGCGCTTAGAAAGCGCCTGGTTTCTCGCAAAGATATCGGCGCATTATCGAGCGCGCGATTTTCATCCCGTCATTCGTAAGTTAAACGATAAACAGTGACAATTCGGATGTTATCCGTACGAATGACTGATTCGCGCAGTCACTTGAGCTTAGCGAACTCACGGGCCCGTGCTCAGTGCACTGTAGACATTTACATACATATATACATTTGTATACATTATCCGCTCTTGTGAGTAATAAATTAATAATACGATCAACAGTTGCATAAAAAACAAATCATGGAAGCATACGTGAAATTAACAAATTGAAATCTAGGTGCATACACGGAGCAAATTTTCTCTTAAAGTTGACCGAAAATTATGTAATCGTAGGACAACACGGCGTTTTGAAGAACTGCATGAGAGATTTTGAAAATTTCACCATACTTTTTTACCAGTAAAATGTATGGTAAAATTTGAAAATCTCTCTGAAAATTATTGGAAATGCCACGTTGTCCCACGATTACACGATTTTCAGGATCAATTTTGAGAGAAAATTCTCTTTGTATATGAGTTAAAAATTTTATTAAGTTGAAAACCCTACAAAAAATTAAATGAAGATCACAATTTGCAATAAATTCATATTTAGCTTCAAACCCATAAGTTGCAATGAGCGCGCGGGAATTTTAAATTAGCACCCCAACATAATTCCGTAATTCTGATTTAAGTTTCTACCTTATTTTCAAGAGATTAAAAGTTTCCTATAATTTATGAAAAGAATTTTGTTGATTAACAGTCAGAAATTAAAATTTGAAGAATGGAGTGCTAACCTTTCTTTCAAATTTGAGAATAACTTTATTTTGCGAATATCAAGAGCTCTTGATACCTACATAAAGAAAGTTTCGATAAATAAAGGAAAATTATAAATGTTTTTAAATTTGATTCGAGAATAGTTCTAAAACATTTCTATTGTTATTTTATTTATTTCGAAAAATGTTTTTGATGATTAAAAAATATAGATAAAGGGTGAGCCGTTAAGAATTATTCGAGCGCAAATTTCGATAAGGAGTTAGCAACTCATTTTTTTTATTTCAGACTATTAATTAGCAGAACTCTTTTTAAACTACAAGTAGCTCTTAATCTTTTCAAGATAAGGTAAGACACACGCGCGGGAATCGAGCGCGTGTGCAAGTGTACGTGCGTGCGTTGAAGTCTCTCTGTGCGCGATTTGGATATGCACTGCAGGTAAATTAGTACGATTTCTATGATTACATCTATTCGCAATTGAATAACAGGATACAAATATTACATATGTGTACGCTAAATGAGGCTAACAACTCTTCATCTTTTTGCAATAAACGTATTAAATAATGGTACTTTATCATGTCAAAATATCGTATTAAAATCTATTATTTTTCTATAAGTATTTAAAAAATATATAAATTTTCTTATTATAAAATTGATCTTTTGTATTTCTATGTGAGAATATCGTTTGTAGATAAATTTCTTTCCTCGAATAAAGTGAATTGTCATGCCATCTACTGTGTAGCACAGGGAATATAAGAACTGTTGAAAGTAAAAGTTGTCAGTTATAATTTTTCTGCCAGCCGAAAGCGTATATTTGTAATTACAGAATCATTAAATATTATGTTATGCAGTAGGGACTTTGTATATCAGGAAGGAAGAATAATAATGTACGGAATTATATGCATTTTTTTAATGAAAGATAGTAATAATGGAATATTTATTTATTCTTAATATAAATTGCTTGTATAATATAAATAGATGCTTATTTCTATGTCGAGTAAGGATTTATAATATATAATTGGACTATTGCTGTAGAAAAAATAGTTCGTAGAAAAATTGTATAATCTCTCAACATGCTCAGAACAACGGTGGCCATGTAAAAAGACCTCCCTAGTGTAGCACAGTGCATTGGCTTAACGTTGGCCCAATTCAACCAAATATAGGGCCAAAGTTTAACCAACGTTTGTTCAATGCACTGTGCTACTAAGGCTAACACGAATTTCAACTAACATGATGCTTATTAGTATTATTTTGATTTGTTCAACGAGATTCTAAGCTTATTATGATGATCCGGACGGATATTTCAAAAGGCCTCTCTCAGTCTTTCGTCATGAAATAAAAAAAAAGCTTACCTTCTCATCGAGTAACTAGTTGTACATACATTATCGAAACTTAAGTAAAAAGGCGCTACGACATGATCAATGTTAATTGAACGTTACATATACGTAATAAATACAAAAATATAATTGAGTTTTGTTTAACGTAGCCTAAAATCTTTTATAAGATTCTTAAAAGCGTTATTAAAAATGAATACAGTCGAATGTACATTGTATTAAAAATACGTGTCATACAAATCTTCAAGATCCATTGTAAAGTGATCCTAACATTGTAAAAATATCTATAGATCGATGAAAAGGCGAATTCGCTTTCTTAGACGTCTGTTGAAACATTTCGAATGTATATATATATTAAAACGAATGGAGAACTTTACGTTATTATTAACAAATTCATGCATTCTTGCGTCGAGTTTACGAGCAAATGGAAATGGAGATTCTTCCTTACTTTGGTGGCAATAGATGTATACGCATTGCTGTTGTACATTGCACTTTCCTTCAAGGCCACAAAAGTTCTATGTTTGGAGACTGCAGCTTCGCAAATATTTTGTACATTGACAACACAACCAGCCAACAGTATATCTGTAAAAAATAAGGCGAGAGATACGAAGACCGGAAATAGTTTGAGTAACGCTGAAACGAAGCACACTTACGTTGTAAGACATCCAAAGCCAATTGCATAATGTCGCGAATACAGAGTCCAACTGAGGTAAAAACATAAAGAAGTGATATGATTGCAAGCTTTTATCGAACGACAACAGAGTCGTCAAAATAAAGAACTCACGTAAATATAATAACCGCCTAAGAGCCACAATCCGAAGACTAACTGGAACAAGCAAACGATGAACCATCCAACGAGCCAGGGCAATAACCATCCTCGTACACCTTCTTTTATGCCGTACACCATTAGCAAAGCGCATACGATCAACAGGAGCAGATAGAAGATGAAAAAGCCTCCGACAACTGGCATAGCTAAAAATTCGGACGTCTCTCAGTTTTTGAATAGAATACTAAAAATATTATAAATGTTAAAAGCCTATATATAAACTAGTAAAGTAATAAACTTATGAACTAATGAGATTAATTAAAAGCCCTAACAATTAATTTCTATTAGTTGAATACCGTATCTCTCTTTGAAGGGAAAAGATGAAGAGAAAAAGTTAATTGATTAATTTAAACATTTATATATTGCAACGAAAGTTATGAAAGGCGCACCGTTATAAATTTAAGTAATTTTCATAAAAAATTATGAACCATGGTCATTTCGACAGCTTTGGTAGATATAATATTAAGTAAATTTTATTTTATTTTACCTTAAAATGTTACGTAGAAATATTAGAAACAATAAAATTGAATCGATGAGTTGCAGAAACCATATGAGTCCAAAAGTTGTCTAAGGTCTATGATTTTGTCTAGAGTCAACAAGCTCATTTACGCCATAAAGTCGGTTTCAAACATTTCTGGACTCAGTGGTTTTTGTACCCATCGATTCAATTATATTCCAGCAAATAAATAAATAATTCGAGACTCTTAATGACCAAATTAGCAAGTAACAAGTAATAAAAGGTGTGCTTTAAGAATGTGTAAATTAACGTTAATCAATCTTTGATAACTAATAGAATATGTAATTGTCCATCGGACGTTTCGGCTCTGCTTCCAGCTATCAACGATAGCAGTTAAATGAATCTCACTCTCTAAGATGAAGCGTAAGTGAGTGCTTCAAGATTGGGTGATTAAAATGGTTTATTTTCCACGAGATAAGTGAAATTTGGCTAACGATCATAGTTTACAATGTGATCGAAATAGAAATGGCAATCGGAACTTGAACAGGGAAACATGAAATCACTTACCCATCAGCTTAGAGTGTCAGAGAATGAAATTCTATTATTTATATCTTGATAATGCAAAAGTTTGTAGGATTTTGTCTCTTTGTTTCGTATAAATGAACTTTCTGTCACTTTTGCTATTCGCATTAATCAGGAATTAGCATAAAACTTCGCATAAAACAGAAAAAGACCTTCGAAGTTCGTTGAGACAAGGTTGTGTGCGTCAATTGCATGCGTAGTTTCATATGCCAATAGATTTTTAGAGATCCTTAAGCCTGATCTACAATGTGCTCTTTGTGTCTAGAAACATTTTATCTCGTAGTCAACACTTTCCAAAAATTCATGTAAGCTGATAAATTCTACATTGTACAATTGTACATTGCTGATCAACTTTTTAAGCATATTAATTCGAACATAGAAATCTCTTTAAGTTGCCAGTAATAAATAACAATAATCAAGCTTTTTAGTCGACATTAACCGGCAAATGTTTTAATACAGAAAATTTATTGCGAAAAATATTGCCCAGGTTCAAACGAAGTTTAAAAAAAAAGGCTAAATCCCTTTCGCAAGGTCGTATCTCGATTTTACACAATTTCCGGGGTTTTCCTGTTTAAACACTCGTTCTGATCCTAAATGATTGTTTAAGCAGAAACATTGCGTAAAATCGAGATACGACCTTGCGAAAGAATCAGTCGATATTGTAGATCAGACTTTAGTCATCGCAAATGTTGAATCATCGATGCGGAAGTTGTACTTGTGATTCCCTAATGAACTCGTATACGATGTATTTCAGTTTTGTTTAAAAGTAAGAGTTGGAACGTTTTTCTATTTACGACTACCGCACTTCAACGTGTGTGACTAATAATTAAATCCTCTTCATCTCAGGGCAAATGCGCGAAAATCTTAGAAAATCCTTAAAGCGAGCTATGCCTGCGCAAGTTAGTCTCTTAAAATTTACATTTTCATTTAAAACACTGCCATTCGATTAATATCATACTTACATCCTCTTACATCGGCTTCGAATAACGGGTTGTACAGCTGCGTAGAATCGCCACCAGCCAGTTGATAGCATATCAGCGTAATCAACACTATACTGATTGCCTAAAAAGAAAATAAATATCGATTACTCGCGCAGTAAAGACTCTGCAGAGTCTTAAAGACGTATTCCGTTAGATATGATTCGCTACATCTAATTTTCCACGAAGCTTGTTAGTCTGCAATTAAGGGGCAGCACTCACCACTGTGTAAAACGCTATAGCCTTACAGCCGGTCTTAATGCTGTTCGACCAGATGCACGGCGACCAACAGGATTCCAAGATCGCCATTGTTTACACTGAAATCAAAGTTTGAATATGAGAGAACGTAAAGCGCGCTTCGAGCGTGATCTCGCCGACTGCGATGATGTTATTGAGCGGCCGTCGCAAAACTTGGGCGTCGACGCGCATCAGAGCTGCCAACGTAAATGCGTGTTGAGTGACCCGCACGTAGAAGCCTCGTCGGGATAGAAATCAAATCGCGTCAACGTGCAAAATCAATTCTACGTTCGAATAATCGCGCTACCGTACGCTTGCGACACTTGCTCAAACGCCGATCTCGAAGACGCGTCAAAAGTGCGCCGATAGTTGCTAGCGCTGCAGGCTCATGTTACACGAAGCGGAAAGGATTAATTCGGACGCGGACGTTGCATTTTGCTCGCGTAAAGTGGCCAAACGCGTGCAGAAATATTGATGCAAAAGTAGACTTTCAAACGAGACACGACACTGCCCGCCCCCCGGCGCGACATTGACGCCGAGACTCCGGATACCAGTCGCGCGTTCTCCGTCGCCATGGCACACGATGCGACGAGTCGATTCACGAGTCGAGCACCAGCACCGAGTTGTTTTCAAAAGTCGTCCCTCTCCCGCCTGTTACTCACGATTTCACGGGGGTGCGGACGAGAAAAGGTGATTTCAATCGGATTTCTCTCGCGAGCCTCGACTGCCGCCACGGTCACCAAGATTCGAATGCTCGAATCGCCTCGGGATAACAGCAGAACTGACAAACAGAGCCATACACGCGTCGCTGGACGTACGGTTAATGGCGTCGTGTCAATTGGAAACCCCCTCCACCTTGCGAACAGGTCACGATGCCGGCTGCTCCCTTTTCGTAAAGGCTCGTGGCAGAGAACGCTCCGTAAACGCTTAAGGCCCGGTTTCACCAAACGTCGCTTGGCTCTAATCTTGGTTTAATTAGTGTTTGTCTCTTTCTAAAGTAGGTAACAGTTGGAAAGAGACAGAGAACCAACTAAACTAAGCTCAAAGTTAAACAACGTTTGGCGAACAACCGGGCCTGAGATTGTCTTACGTAGACGTGAGGCAAGGCAGAGAAAAACTTACGTTGTGAAAGTCTAATGTATACGACTTGAGTTTTCCTCTGCCTTGCTCTATGTCTACGACTTAAGGCAGTCTTGAGCGTTTACGGATCGTTCTCTGCCATCAGTCTAAGGGCCTGAGCAGAATGACTGTCTTGTAAGACAATGTTTTGTGTTTTAAATGTTTGTCTTAAAGTAAGGACCTGAGCAGAATGGCTGTCTTGTACTCTTCAGACATAAAACAGTTATTGTGCATTACCTCAAGACAGAGGCTTAAAACGTAAAACATTGTCTTAAGGCTGTCTTAAGGGTATAAGACAACCATCCTGCTCAGGCCCTAACGCGTTGATCTACCAATGCTTTGAACAGTTGGCCAAGGATGCGATACACTGTAATACACAGTGGTTGCAATTTTGAAATTTTGAAGAAAGATTTTGAAATTTCAAAACATTTCTGCGTAATATACTTAATGATATTTCAAGTTCTTATTTGTTATTGCGTATGAACTCTTTCGTTTTACAAGAACTTTGCATTTCATAATTTTGTATTACAGAAGAGATTCTATTTTGAAGAAGCATTTTTCTGTTCTTCTTCTTATAAAACCAACATTTATAATAGTTATTTTATTATACAAAATCATAATATACCAAGATAAAAATCGAGCGTATTGTTAGCAAAGTATACAAAGAAAATAGAAAGAATCTTATTTTCCATAAATGGACAGCACATCCATCTTTTTCTTTACCAGTTCGTCAATTTGATAAGTTTACTAGCATAAAATTAATTTGAATTGATCCGCGTTTAGTGACACAGTGCGGCTGACGAAGAAATGTAACCAGAAATCGCTATATCGTGTCTGCGGCGCTTGATTTGAAATATGTGCCGTAGTCACATTCCTATCTTTTAAAGTGTGATCGTATTCACAATATATTTCACAGTGCCATTATTCAAAACGGTACATAAGATTTGGAAAAGGTTGAGAAATTAACTAAAACCGTTCAGCAATACAACAAATGGCCATCTGTGTAAAAATTAATGTCCTTTTTATCGCGCGCCACAAACTTGAACATTATCCGATGCAAAGAATGTAATATCCGTTCTACGTATCGTAACGCAATTGAATCCATATAAAGAGTAGTGCTGGAATTTATCAATTCACCTAACAAGCAGGTGCGACGAACTCGCTGTAGCAACGCTATCGCAATCTGTATTTGCACAGCGATTTACTATCTATTAATATCGCGGTGCAAGGTCAGTCTGGATAGAAATAGAAATGGCCACATTTATATCTCCTATTAAGCCGTGCGTTTGAAGAGTAGCGTGACATTACTTTGTAATTCGCTGCGCACTTGGGAGATCATAAAGTCCGTTGAACAGGCAATAATTTCCGTGACTTTTTACACCGTACGAGCTATTTCAGTAATTTTTTCTTTTTGCCGATAAACGGAAGGAAACCGTTCTGCGCGTTCGTAGATGTATTTGTAAAAATTGAACGGAAAGAAGGGAAACTGATTTTTTACCACGACAATTTATAAATGTATAATATAAATACATAAGTACGTATATAACGTGATAAGCACATATAAATATATAAGCACTGTCCTCCTCGAAATGAATGGTTTTTATCATTTATAATACTCTTGAGATAAACTCGCTGCAGTTGTCGCACTTATTATCGCGCCGTCTGCGTCATCGGTGATTAACCCGCGGAAAATGTAGCGCAACGGTTTCGTGTTACCTGGCCGCGGTTTCCGCAACAGATCGCCATTTTGGTGACCGCAGAAGGAAAACAGAAACTTATCCAGCTGAAACGAATCAAATAATTCGATTGTCGGGAGGAAAAATGCAGCTTGAACGTTGCAGGAAACGCGTTCTATTTCACGCGTATCGTTTTACGCGCGTTTCACGCCTTCACGAAGGGCGATGTAACTCAATCGAAATAAAATGAGCGAACAGTGACGCTCGAGGAAAAGTCGCCGCGGGGTCACGGGGATCGGTAAAATTTCTGGACGGGCACGTTCGAGCGTTTCCTTTTGTAATCGACGTACGCGAGTGATCAGAATGGTTTGTTGATTGGCCGTCATTGTCGGCCGGCCACGAGGAATTTCACGGGGCTCTATGAAATGATAAAATCCATTCACTCCGGGGAGGACAGTGCCTACACGCGTCTATAAATCCTCGCCAGTCATTCGGCGCAACAACGAATAGCGTAATGGATCCAGACGTTCGTCGAGATAGCGGTGCTCTAAGACGCCGTAGATCATCGACAAGCAGGATTAACGTCATTGGGATTAGCGATACTATAAGGTGCAAGATATACCCAGTCGGAAATCGGCATATGACGGAACGGGTAACGCAATACCGAACGACTGATCGTATCGGATAGTAAAGGAAAATCCTCTATAAAGCGATAGGGTTCTAATATGAGATAGCAGGTCTTCAACGTCCAAATTCAATCACAAATCTTTTTTCGCAACGATTACACGAACTAACAATGAACTTGCCGCTAAACGGATTTCACTCCAAGGGCAATAAATTCATGATGGAACCAACAGACGATGCTTAGCAGAAACTAGGAGCCTATCTCATAATAGGGGACTTTCCTCCAATAATAATGAAATTATTATTCAACTAAATTTTTAACTCGGTCCTTCAAGATATAAATCAAGCACAAGTGTAAACGGCCTTTAGGGCCAGGCACAGCCGGAGAGAGAGAGGTAGCCACTTAAATTACTATGTAAATCCATATACCGTATTATTATTATGCGATTAAACTATTATTGCTAATGCCGTAATTTCTCCTCGATATAGAAAATAGGTTTCTCTCTTTTAGAAAATATATGAATTATTGGGTGCCCCCAAGCCCTATTCTACTCCAGACGTACGGGGTTCTAAGTCGATCGTTGCCCTCCCGAGTAAACTCTCGAATGAGATCACTCGCGCTATTCATCAATATTCGCCCACCGATAGGTAATTCCAAGCTTCCCACTCCGGGCTATCGGGATATCGGTGGCGCCCAAACACGGACCAAGAGACGGGCCGCGTAGTCTTCTGCCGATGCCGGCTAGTCAGGAAGCTATAAATACATGTGTCTGTGTGCGTGTTATGCGTGCGTATAGATAGAGAAGACAGAGATCCCTCCGGTCCCCATTCTTCCGTACCATTTTCTACGATCGCCCGCTACCACAGCTCGGTTTCCCTCGCGGCGGCTCCGAGCTTCCTCAGCATCCGCTGGACCACCGTAAACTGCGCCTCTCGATTTAGGCGTCGGACTCGGAGCATCGCGCCAGCAGCACGCTCGCGCGCCACTGTCAACGTTGCCATCTTGTCGTGAAGTACTTGAACGGTGTCAATGGTTGGAATGAAGACAACTGTGGACTGGCAACGCTGCGGGAATCTTCAACCAACACCCGGCACGTGGCTCTACTCATGCCCCGGTCAAATTGAGCAAATCGGAATGATCAGCAAACCCAGCAGCCACTCCGTCGCGCCGCTTCTGCCGATCAACGTAAATGATTTCGCGCGCGTATCATGTGCGGCGATTAGCTTGTCCGGTGAGTTTATCGAGGATGGCTCGCAGCTTTTGGCTGACGCTTCTTCAGATCGTTCCGCATTAAACAATAGAACCGCGTTTAACGTAAATGTTACGAGAACACGTCAACGTTAAAAGACATGGCATTCTGTTAATTAATAATTTTAGGATAATATTTAGGACGAATATTTATAGTGGTGCTTAAGGAGATCCTTCAGCCATCTTTTTTACCGACACAGTCAAATACAGTTTTTGCGCTTGTAATTCTTTTTATTAGCTTTTATGTACAAAATAATACCAGGATAAGTTGCGGACCGCATAGCAGAACATTTTTATACTTGAAACACTCAGTTCAGAAGTCTAATAAAAAAAGATATTTGAAAATTTCCATTCGTAGTTCTAACTAAATTTGAAATTGGCTTTATAAAATTACAAAATTCTTCCACCCGATTAAAGTACGCATAAAGACAAAACGAGGGACAGTCGTACGTGATTGAGGTCAGCTAACCTCAATCATTTATAAAGTGATATTTTTAATTTCTCTTCTTTTTTCATATAAAGTCGACTGTCCCTGGTGTTGTCTCTACGCGTACTTCAATCGTGTGGAAGAATTTTGCAATTTTATAAAGCCAATTTCAAATTTAGTTAGAACTACGAACTGAAACTTTTAAATGCTGATGTTATTTTTATTAAACTTCTGACCTGAGTGTTTCAAGTATGAAAATGTTCTGCTGTGCGGTTCACAACTTATCCTGGTATTACTTCGTGCATGGAAGCTAATAAAAAGAATTACAAGCGCAAAAACTATATTTGACTGTGTCGGTAAAAAAGATGGCTGAGGGATCCTCTTAATTGTTTGATTTAAATTTGCACTGAATGAAATTATGGTGCATATAAATGCAGTTATTGCAGGCGGGATTTAGATATCGGGTTTGTATCGCTGAGAGCGTTCAGACTTTAAAATTATTATCTTTGTGATAAAACTGTTATCGCGCCGCCCGTCTCGGTTGTTTAATTTTGCAATCAGCTGGTGTCTGGAACGGAAGATATTTCAGCGGCACATTATCTGACGCAGGAATGCGCTATTTGTTTGATTACCGAACCGAATTTGATGTAATTCCTCCGGTGCTCATAACTGCTCGAGTGAATTTGACGTACTCGGAGTACTAGAGTCACTCAAGTTGAACGAAGTAGCAGCATCAAAGGGAGAGATAGAGGGAGAGAGAGAGAGGGAGAGAGAGAGAGGGAGAGAGAGAGAGGTTGCGATATGCTATGTTCGCGTTAACTTTAATAATTTAACAATAAATCATATCAAACTGTCCCGATTTAACCATGAAAGGATCATTGAATGTATAAAACTGCAGACACATTAATACAAATGTTAATTTGTGAGATAAGAGACGAAGGAGAAGGTTTCTCCTCTATTTAAATATTCCTGAACGCGAACGCTCTCGTGAATTATCTGCGAATGGAAACACGACCCCTCGCACGTTCAGCCAACGACGCCAGATAGATACGCGGTCTGACAATGAGTCGAAGAGTTGATAACAGAATAAGATTCGTATCTGGGGACTGCAACCTCGTTGGCAAGACCTGAATTTAATGATTAAAGTTGGCCTTTTCAAAATATCTTCACACAACGCACGCGAGAAATGTTGCGAGAAGCTTAACGAGTGGATCATATTGAAATGCACATTACAATTGTTAAACTTGTTACAATTTACTTTCTTATTGACCGTCGCAATTACTTTCTATTATAATTCTTCACACAATTGTGTTTTATGTATTCGGAATTATGCTTGGAGTAACGTGAACGTTGTTTGAAAATCGACGCCCAGTAGAAAGTAGAACAATGATAAGTGAATTCGACTCAATAGAAACGAGGAAGTTTACAATTATCTTAGCGAGTCGGCTGTTATTAACAAAAGAAAATGTTATTGGTGTCTCAAGACTAAAATATCACGTGTTCTGGACATCGATCACGTGCTCCGAGATCGCGTGGAAATCACTTTGCTTGCGAAGCTAATAGTGGCGGAGGTCCACGCAGGTTACGTGACTAATATCTTAATATATATTCTGCGAAATATTTAGTCGGCGTGGCGCGGGAGCAGCCACGCGATGCGTTGTTTGAATCCGAGATCTCTCCCGCCCAAGCGAAATAAGAACCTCGACTGGAGGGGCCTGTGGACGCACGTTCGTGAGTTCTCGGTAGCACGAAGACTTTGTAAAATGAATTAAAAGAGATAAATTTTCGAAATAAGTGTTATAAATAAGGATTCCCTAAGGGAAAGGGTCGTAGCTCGCTACTCAAACTTGATAAGCTTACTTTCCCGTAAAGAATAATGTAACATTTGCGCCAATTGTACTCGCAATTTTGTGCACAATTGAGCGTCTGAAGCTGTCCGTGCAATTTGTGTAAAGTTTCCCCGACACAAGAAAAGTATGGTTTTTGATACCGAACGCGTGGTCGACAAGGAAAATCTCGGTGGTCCCCCGAGCCGCGAGCGCAGCATCTCGCGCGGTCGGCGACCACCTTTCGCCGAGGGAGAGTTAGCGCGAAGGGGGCATAGGAGGCCCCTCCGGTCAGATTAGGCCCCGTCGGGCCCCTCTCGCTCGCGCTCCGCGCCGTCGAAGTCGTTCCTTCGTGCCGGTTTGTGCTGTCGGGTCCGCCTTGCCTCGTGCATACGCGCCATGGTCTCTCGCGTCGAGTCGGACCAGCGTGATCGTGGTACCCAGCTGGATCTGGACGGCCGTTGGTTGGCCCCGTCGTCGGCGCTCGTGAAACGAAGCGGAGGCGAAGCGGTGCCACGGCCACGGCGCGAACTCGCGCGTCGTGTCGTCATTGCCGTCGTCGTCGTAGTCCTCGCCGTCAACGACAAATCGAGCCGAGCCCAGCGCGGACTCTTCGTATTCTCTCTGATGTAACCCCCTTCTCCCTGCATCGCGTGAAACCGCATCGCGGCCACCTTATACCGCTGCGATTACGCATACACTCGCTCCGAGAGCCGAGCGCCGAGCGGTCCCCGACGTCCGCGATCCCGTAGATCGCCCGCGATCGCCTGCGACGCGTCCTCGCGCGCGCGCGCGTCGCGAGTCCGCCGCCGGGACCGTTCCACGCTGATCGAGGCCGATTTCGTGCGTGCGTCTTTTGTGCGCGGCCCGTCTCGTCTTCACTCCGGCAGAGAAGGACGCGCGAGTTCTGTGAAACCTGTGAGTTCTCGTGCAGATACGCGTCCAGCGAGGCAGCGATCGAGAGGATTTTCGAAAGATTGCTTGGACCGGAGCTCCGTCGCGCCAATTGCAAGTTCTCGCTTGTGAATTTTACCCGCGTCGATTTTTCCCCCGATACTCGCCGAAGGCCAGAAATTGTGTTCAATTCTGCAGCGAGTGAAATCTTCAATTGAAAATTTTGCGCGTTAAAGGCGGCCAAAAACAAAAATGTTGATCGACAGAATATTTCTTCGTGTTAGGTGATTATTCCTTCGGACGATCGCAGGAGAAAGACGCGCGAGAGTGTAGAATCGGTGTCCGTCGACGGGATCGAAGTGAAGTGAGAAAGTACGACCTGGCGATTTGTATCGTGCGAAACCGTCTCCCGATATCGCGGAGCGAAAAGAGATTACTCCGACCATGTGAATCACGGACCATAATTCACGCGGAGCATCGCATTTCTATCGGACTTGGAGAACGCGTGCGAGGTCCTCGCAAATCAAGCCCCCAGTACAATTCAGATCGGACCGCTCCGCGGACTTAACGTTCCATTAAGTTGCGTCCGTAAAGTGGAAAAGTATCGCGTTTATCGCGATCGTAATTCACGGATTCTCTCTCGCGCGAGCGAAAGAAAGAGAGAGAGAGAGAGAGAGAGACTCGTGGCAACGCGATCAGGTGATAAACCGGGAAGAAACGGTCCAGAGGCAGAATCGGGTGGAAGTGAAGTATCTAGATTTGTAGAACGGCTACGTTGCGCCAATGTGTGCCACGGATATACGTAGTGCCAGTGCACGCGGTTGAGTAAGATTGCCTCGGTGATTTGACTGGATCTCTCCTTCGCGATCGAGATCGCTGATTTTCCCGTGCGACCGTCGCGAACGGCCGCGGTGAACGCGGGCGTATATCGAAAAGCCGCGGGTCTCCGAGCGCCCGGACGCTGGCGGTACGGCTCGCCGACGGATTTCTGATCATGGATCCGCACGCTGTCACCCAGAGATCGTTGACTTTCTCAGGTGGAATCGCGCGGAGGGCATCGGCGAAAGTATTTTCGATCGTCCGCAGAAGTAAGTCCTCTATTAATCTACTCTATGGCGTGGTGGAACCTTGCGCTGCACCGGAATGCGCGAACGTTGGACGCGAGGTACGGCTCGGTGGTCGCGGAGCGCGATAATTCGAACTTTATATTAGACGTGGGTCAGACTTGGAGAATTCGGGGACAAGCCGAGGTCGTTAATGAAACGTGAGA